TGAATATCTGTAGAATTGACAGGAGAAGGAGCGTGAGTCAGAGTTTTGTGTGTACGTGTGTGTGTACATGCCTGTATGCTGTGTCTATAGGGGTGTACACGTGTGTGTGCATGCCTGCATGCTGTGTCTATAGGGGTGTACACGTGTGTGTGCATGCCTGCATGCTGTGTCTATAGGGGTGTACACATGTGTGTGCATGCCTGCATGCTGTGTCTATAGGGGTGTACACGTGTGTGTGCATGCCTGCATGCTGTGTCTATAGGGGTGTACACGTGTGTGTGCATGCCTGCATGCTGTGTCTATAGGGGTGTACACGTGTGTGTGCATGCCTGCATGCTGTGTCTATAGGGGTGTACACGTGTGTGTGCATGCCTGCATGCTGTGTCTATAGTGGTGAACACATGTGTGTGCATGCCTGCATGCTGTGTCTATAGGGGTGTACACGTGTGTGTGCATGCCTGCATGCTGTGTCTATAGGGGTGTACACGTGTGTGTGCATGCCTGCATGCTGTGTCTATAGGGGTGTACACGTGTGTGTGCATGCCTGCATGCTGTGTCTATAGGGGCGTACACATGTGTGTGCATGCCTGCATGCTGTGTCTATAGGGGTGTACACGTGTGTGTGCCCGCATGCTGTGTCTATAGTGGTGAACACATGTGTGTGCATGCCTGCATGCTGTGTCTATAGGGGTGTACATGTGTGTGTGCCCGCATGCTGTGTCTATATGGGCAGGTTGTACACTAGAATTCCAACTCCTTTTTAGATGCAGAGAGCCAGGATTTTCTTCTTGGCATCACTTCTTGCAGATGAATTTCCCCCTAGGGATTTACCTACTTTATTCAGATCTGTATCATGTCCTCTCAGAAACTGTTGAGTTACTCACATGTATGGTAGCTTTCTCATGCTTTGATTCTGATCTGGTTACTGGCGTCCCTTCACTTCCAATTGATCTGTTATCTAGGAACTCATCAATTTATTGGTGCTTTTGAAAAACAGATGTTGGGCTTTGTGGCAATACTTGCTTATATTTCATTAATTTTTCCCTTTTGTCTTCTTGTTTTGCCTGTTGTATATCATATTTACTCTTCCCCTAATTTTTTTAAGCTGGATGCTGCGATTATTGCATTTCAAAGCCAGAGAATGTTGGGAAAGATGAGCAGGCAGGAGATGCCAGGCCCCTCAGCAGAGGAAAGGACAGCGATGTGGAGGACGCGGGGCCCTCCTCTTAGGAATAAATGAGGCAGCAGGTGAGGACTTGCAGGATTGTCTAGTTACAACACAGCTGTATGTTTGCTTAAAAATTCAACCAGATTGGACCCGGCGTGGTAGCCTAGCAGCTAAAGTCCTTGCCTTGCACACACTGGGATCCCATGGGTGTTGGTTCTAATCCCAGCTGCTCTACTTCCCATCCAGCTCCCTGCTTGTAGTCTGGGAAAGCAGTCAAGGATGACCCAAAGCCTTGGGACTCTGAACCTGTGTGGGAGACCTAGAAGAGGCTCTAGGCTCCTGGCTTCAGATTTGCACAGCCCCGGCCATTGTGGTTATTTGGGGAGTGAATCATTGGATGGAAGATCTTCCACTCTGTCTCTCCTCCTCTCTGTATATCTGATTTTCCATTAAATAAATAAATAAGTCTTTAAAAAATTAAACCAGATTTTTAAAAAGTACACACTTAATCCCATCTCTATTAAAGCCTGTAAAATGCAAACTCAGCATTAGGAAGCTTCTCAGGGCTGAGTGGGTCGGGGGGAGGCGAGGGCCGCGGGGCTGCAGGCCGTGGGTGCTCACTCCTGGTCCAGTGGTGGAAGTGGTGGAAGTGTTCACTCTTGGGCGTGCCGATGGTTTCCCTCGTGTGTAGACATCCAATCTAGCCAACATGTCCACCTTGCGGCCCCCTTGTAGGTCAGCTGTACTTCCACAAAAGCATGTAGAAAGAAAAGGGAAAAGAATGCCTTCTCTCTGTCTTGTATTTCCACCAGACACAATGCCTACGTGGCATATTGGTACACATAGAAGCAACACAGTACGGCATACCTGTGGGACACAATACTACACAAACACATAGAAACAATACAGTGTGCAACACATGTACCACACACAACACATGCATGTAACACCATGGCATAACACACATGTATGACGCACACAATATCTGAGGCTCACTCACTCTCCTTACTGTTCTTGAAGCTCCCTGCACCTATGGTAATGGCATCTGTCACGAACTGGGGGGAATACATAACCATGATGTCTTAGAGTGTTGTTTCTGTCCAGCTCTTCCCTGGGATTCTCTCTGACCGGGGCTGGCCTGTTCGGGTTGCTCTGTCTTTCCTGGTGTTGCATTCTCTGGCACAGTGTGGGCAGTTTGCTCGTCTTCCCAGGTGGGGTCCCATCCACTGGTTGCATAGGAAAGACGTTCATCATCATGTCACACTGGGGTTTTGTGTGTGGTTCTGGAAATCCCATTTAATTCTTCTAGTTTTCACTTCTTTGCCATCATTTCTTACTGATGTCATCTGTTTTCACCATTTCCAGTAGAATTTCTAACACCATAATCATGGAGACTTCCAAGCTGCTGTTAGATAATTCTAACATCTGCCATTCTGGCTTTAGTCGGTGGCTTTGTTTCTTGGCAGTGTGTTTATACCTCACATTTTGTATGCTTCATAATTTACTGTTGCATGCTGCTCATCTTATGTCAGGGCCCGGAGGAGATGAGCAGATGGTCTGGTCCTGCTGGTCAGTATTCGGTAGGGGAGGCCTGGGGACGGCCTCCAGTGCCCCCGCATGGGCTCCGGGCTCTGCTGTCTGTGCTGGCTCTCTTCACCTGACCCTGGGGGGGAGTCCTCTTGTGGACCCTGCAATCTGAGGCTCGGCCTCTTCCTAAGAAACAAACGGCAGCTCATGGGTTATCTGTGCAGGGTGTGTCCTGTGATCCTCGCTGGGTGTTTGAAACTGCAAAGCCCCAAACCCTGCCCAGGCTGCTTTCTCCCGGGCTACACACACTCCATCCACAGCCGGTCTGCAACAATAAAACAGAACACGGCATTGACAAAGGGGATGTGTTCTGAGAAATGTGTCATCAGGCAGTTCTGTGGAGATGTCACACCGTGTGGCTATGATGTCAGAACCACCCTGAAAATGATTTGTCTTTCACTGCACATAGCTGGGCTATAATACAAGTTACGGGAATATGGCCTTCCTCTCCAAATACTTTATATATTTACGTGAAACGCAGAGTTAGAGACAGAGAGAGACAGACAGCAACTTCCAGCTGTCGGCTTACTTTCTCAGTGGCTGTGATGGCCTGAAGCCAGGAGCCTGGAACTCCAGCCCGGTCTGGCAGGGCTCAAGCATTTGGGCCACTTTCTGCTTTCGCAGGCAAAAATTGGGAGCTGGAGTGAAGGTGGAGTAGCCGGGATTCAAACCAGCACCAATAAGGGAAGCCGGTGTCACAGGGAAGGCTTCATTTGCTCTGCCACGATGCTGAGACGACCATTAAAGGAACACCTTAGGGCTTGTCTTGGCATATCCAAATGGCATTACCCCATCTGTTCTTTAGGGCCATTGCTGATGCAATGAGCTACATTAGCGTAAGGTCTGTGTGATAACCAGGGGGTACCAAGGGCCGACAGGTGAGCAGCAGTCAAAACACCCATGCACTGGACAGAGGGCTCATCCCCAGTTAGTGAACAAAAACTTGTGTCTTGAATTTTCCATTTAGTAACTTCAGATCACAGATGACTTTGGGGTAATGGAAAGCAGAATAAGTGACTCCACATCCCTGTTCTAAACGCCGACTCAGCTCCACATGCCTGACAGCAGGTGCATGTATCAGTCCTTCATTCGCCTCCGCCTGGCAACCTACAACAGCTGAAGGCAAGGGCTGCCGCCCCCTTCCCTCCTGACCACAGGGCTGGCTTCTGGGTGTGAACATGGCCCGGACAGCGCCTCCTGCCCTTCTGTGCACTGGTCGGGGTGAGCCCCAGGGAACCTGTTGAGTGAGAAGTGGGCGCTGGAGAGCATGGTGTTGACTGCTGCAAACAAGCTGAGCATTCCTAGCCCTCTGGTCGGTGGGCTCCCACAACGCTGGCCACCACCCGGGGCGTCTGTAACGGGGCCCCTCCTCTGAGCACTGTCCCCAGGGACAGCTTTCACATTCAACCCATCAGGATCTATGCCCCTGTCAACACTTGGTTGGGATTTTTGGTTGTTGATTTTCTGGTATAGCAAGAGCGGTTTTGTAGAATAAGAAACCAACCAACCAACCAATCAGGAAAATTCCGGAGCGTGTCTATCCTTAGGCTACAGAAATGGAGGTTTGCCGGAAGAGCGGCATGCACGAGGTGCGTGTGAGTGCAGAGTAAGAAAAATCAGCCACACCTGTGAAGAGTGAGGGCCCGCTACGGGGCAGCAGCAACACTGCCTACATGTATGACACATGCATGGGCACTGTTGGCATGAGTGCAACAACCCGGCGGGAAGAAACAGGGCAGAGGGCCGGGGCGCACGGGGCCCCAGGGTCCGGCCGGGCTTCGGCTGCGGAAGGAGTCCAGGTCGGGTCGCAGCCCTCCTCCTCCGCTATCCCCGGGGCCTCCCTGTTGCTGGCCTGGGGATGCGAGGCTGAGCTCAACTCGGCCGCGCTCGCGGCCTTGCAGGACCTTCGGCAGCGCCAAGGGGGCAGTGCAGCCCGCAGCGGCAGCGGCTCCCTCGCCCAGTGAGGACTCCGCCCGCCGAGAGGTGAGTGGGTCGGAAGGGGCCGGGTCTCCGCCTGCCCCGGCCGCCCGCATCCACACGCACGCTGGGCTTCGCGGCGGGACTCGCCGGGCCGGGGCCGGGCGGAAGGCGCCAGTCGGCCCCAGAAACCGGGCTCTCGGGCGCGGGCCTGCTGCGCGCACTCGTGCGCTCGCGGCTGCGGGCGCGCGCGGGACGGGAGCGGCTCCCGCATCCGGAGGTGGAGGGGCGGGGCGGGACCCGCACTCCCGCCCACCGGCCCGCGGCGCCCGGCCGCCCGCACCCTCCGCAGGGGCCGCCCTCCCGGCGCGGGGGGGCGCGCGCGTGGAGGACGCGCCTTCTCGCTCCCGCGTCCGCAGGCGGCGGCGGCTGCCTAGTCCCGCCGCCAAGATGCTCAAAGTCACGGCGCCCTCCTCCTCCTCGTCGGCCGCGTCCTGCTCCTCGGCCACCCCCAGCGTGGCCCTGGCGGCCGGCAGCCTGATCCCGGACTACTGGATCGACGGCTCCAACCGGGACGCCCTGGGCGACTTCTTCGAGGTGGAGTCAGAGCTGGGAAGGTAAGGCTGTGGCCGCGCCGCCGGCACCGGAGCGGGCGCGGGCTGTGCTGGGGGCGGGCTGGCGCGGAGACAGCAGGGCTGCGGGTTCCTCCGTGGCGGTCGCGCCTCTCGCAGGTGCCGCCCCTTGGGTGCCCAAGCTGGGCCGACCCCCCCGTTCCGCGCCACCCGCGCACGTGGGCATCCTCGCTCCCTCCCACGGCCCTCTGCCTTTGTGGAAACCCGGAGACGAAACGTCCTCTGCCTTCTCTTGGCTCTGTGACCCCCGCGGCCCATGCAGAGGGCTGAGGGGTGAGTACAAGGCGGATTCCTGAACTCCTGGGCGGTTGGCTTACACCCGCGTGCGTCCAGGACCCTGGGCGGTGGCTCCCTGGGGCTTGGGTTTGTGCGTGGGCCAAGGTCCTCGTGGTTTGGCCCAGGGGAAGGGGCTCTGTGCCCCCTCCCTAGTTTCAGATCCAGGCCCTTTATCACAGGGACTGATTTCAGCTGTTGCCGCTCGTGCCTGCATTTTCCTCTGCCTCTTTTTTTTGCTGAAAATAGTTGAGCTAATAGCCATGCTTCTGTCTTAAGAATGGCCACGGGCCACCGTGGCACGGGGCCCTGGGGGCTGCTGTCCAGGCGGGACGCTGTTAGCTCCCTGTCCTGTCCTCTGGCCCCATTTGCTGGTTGGGGCACAGATAGCCATGTGCCCGCCTGGCCTGCAGAAGCCGGACGTGCCCAGGTGGCCTGGGTTTCCTTTGCAGGTGTGCCTTTGGGGGAGTCAGGCGTGTGCGAGCCAGGCTGCTGACGGTAGAGATAACGTGCCGGGCGCTTGGCAGGCGGGGGCCAGGCAGCAGAGGAAGTGCGGCTTACCCGTGGGCGCCGACTCGGCCTGCCTGCCTGCCTGTCTGTGGGAATCCATTTCCTTTCATCTGATGATTGTGAGGTGGGCAGGAAGAAAGCTGGAGATTGAAGTGGTTACCCTCCCAAGCGTGGGGGTGTCTGTTGCCGCGCACTGGGGAGAACAGATGTTGCTCTGTCTGTTGCTGGCCCCCACGAGTCACGGACTTTAAAGTCTCTGGGAAGGAAGCCGAGAGGCCTGCGGCTGTGCCTTCGCGTCCAGACAGGTGTCAGCTCCCACAGGATAGTGGGGGGTGGGGACGTGGCCGGGACCCACGAGGGTTGCTGACAGGCAGGCCCAATGACTGGTCACCTGGAGCCTGGAAGCCCAAGACGGCAGAGGCACAGTGAGCCGGCTCCCAGGCCTCGCCTTAGGGCTTGGGCCCAGGCTGCCCACTGTAGCCGACCCTGAGAGCAGTGTGGAGTTAGTTGGTTCCAGAGTTGTGGCTGTGGCGAGCTTCTGTCACTGCTGTCCTGTGTTCTGGAGGACTGGGCCGTGGCTGGCCGTGAACATAGAGCCCCGCCCCCTTGGCCTGCGGAGGCAGGTGTGGGTGGTCCTGACCCAGACGTGGCGTTCCTCGGCCCAGGTGTTGGGCTCGCCGGAGGCCTTGATGGGGAGTCTCAAGCCGTCACACGTGAAGCTGCTGTGGGATTGCGTTGTCAAGGTGATCTACCAGCCAGTTCAGCCCCACCCCAGGCACGTACTGGCCATGGCCGTGCAGGGCCCCCGTCCTGCTGGCCGTGCAGGGCCCCCGTCCTGCTAGCCGTGGCCGTGCAGGGCCCCCGTCCTGCTGGCCGTGGCCGTACAGGGCCCCCGTCCTGCTAGCCGTGGCCGTGCAGGGCCCCCGTCCTGCTGGCCGTGGCCGTGCAGGACTCCCTGTCCTGGAGAGAGTTTGGTCTCCTGCCCGGTGATTGGAGAAGCTGGCATTAGAGTGGCTGTTCCTGGGGAGCAGGAAGCTGGCCTCCACCAGGGCTCTTCAGCAGTTGGGCACGGGCCTGGCTGGCTCCCATGCCCAGGCATGTCCCACCTCATGTCTGGAAAGCACGTGGGTAACGAAGCCGGGGACCCCAGACATGCCCAGAGAAGCCAGGTGAGTCGTGGGGAAGAGGCTCTGTTCAGCAACCTGGGTGCGATTCCGTGGAATGTACTTCCTTCAGGCCCAGCCCTAGCCTGGCCCACAAGTCAGTAAGAAAACCTCGGCTGCAGCTCAGCCAGGGCATAAGTATGTAGACCGCCTACCTAGGCACCAGGCCAGTGTGGCCAGTGAGAGGGGTGGGCACGTGTGTGTGTGCAGCAGGAACAGCTTTCATAAGACAGCGTGTCTTCTTACTGCTAGCCATGCTCTCTGATCTGATCTGTGCTGTGTGATTTTATTCCATCTCCTGAATAACTATAGGCTGAACCGTGTGATGTCACATCATCCTGTTAATGGACTGTGACTCAGAAAGTCTGTTTTTGGGGCATAAATCTGTGTGTGCCAGATTAAACCGTGAGGCAGAGTTCTTTAAAAAAAAAATATATAGTACCCCACAGCTGTGGGTGTTTGGCACAGCGGGTGAGGTGCTACTTGGGGCACCTGTGTGTCGGAGTGCCTGGCCCGAGGCTTGCCTGCCCTTCTTGTTTAGCTCCCTGCTGATGTACAGTTGGAGTGCACTCACGGTGGCTCCAGGGCCACCCACGGGAAGGCCCCACCTTGAGTTCCATGCTCTGCCCGTGGCTTTGGCCTGGCCCAGCCCTGGCTGTTTAGAGCATTTCGGGAGTGAGTCAGTAGGTGGCACATCTTCCTCTCTCTTTTGGAAAGTTCTTGGTGTTTCTCCAACATTTCCTGGGCAGACAGTCATGATGGGCTGGCTGGGGGTAGGGGTGATGTGTAGGGGGCACTTGAAGGCTCAGCTGCCAGTGTCCTCTGGCCCAGGTTATGGTGAGGGTGTCACGCAAGGAAGCTTGGCTCATGTGTGTCTTCTAGGAAGAGCGGCTTTGTTCACGTGGTGCTCGTGGCTCTAGCTGCTGCACCCTAACACTGTAAACCACTTGCAGGTGCTGCTGCTCGCTGCATGGGCCAAGGGCAGAGTCTGTTACATCCGCAGCTGGTGTTGAAGAGGAGGTGTCAGCATGCTGGGCCCCTTCCTCGTCGGGAGGGTGTGGCCCCGGTGGAGGTGGAGACCCTCGGGGGAGATGCTGGCTGTGACCTGCTCACCCTTTTCCTAAGCTGACGTGGCTGCAGCCGCTGCCTCCCCACCACCCCGCACTGCTTTCCCTTCTGTGCTGTGGCCTTTGGCTGCTCCAGGTGGGGACTCGGGGGCATGCCTCCCTGTTGGGTGGGAGGGAGGGGTGTTTGGTGCCCTCATCCCTGCCAGGTGGGCACTGTGTGTCAATGAGGCGTGCTGTTGCGTGGAGTTGAAGGCCTTGGCGTGCCTCCATGCGACACCAGGAGTATGTTTTCTGAATTGAAGTGCTGTCACAGGTTTTTAAATAATTGCAGATTTTGCAAGGAGAAAGGATCCAGACGCTATCTGCTTCTAAGTTGTTATAGAGACCTTGAGAGCGAGCGAAGAAACCAGGAAGAATGGCCTCAGACTTGCACGGCAGCCTCCACAGCCAGACACACAGGTGTGGGGTGTGTTAGTGGTAGGCTGAGTTGGCCAGTGAACTGTGTCAGCCACTAGTAGTCTTTGTGCTGACCATGTTTTTCTTCCTGCGTGGTGGAACAGTAGCCCTTGTAGAGTTTGTTTTGGGAGAAGTGACAGTATCTAACGAGGTGAATATCAGTTGTTGAAAACCTCCGGCTCAGGTTCACTGCAGAGTCCTGGTGCTTGAGTCTGGGAAGCCTGAGGCCTGGGCCGAGGCTCTTAGGTGGTTCCGTGGCGTGAGCTGGATGGCTACCGGCTTCCTTACGCACCTGTTGTGCAGGATGGTCTGGGGGTCTGCTGGCCCCTCTCATGGGGTAGGGAAGCTGAGGGGCCACGACCCCAGTTCTGATCCTGAAAGAGGTCCTGGTGGGGAGCAGTGGAGGGCAGTGAGACCTGGGGTGCTCCCCCCCACCCCAAGCTCTGGACACGCACGTGGCCTCACCTTCCCTCGAGGCAAGGTGTCTGCCAGACCTGGTACTGGTGCCGTGGGGTTCTCGCGCAGCACTGGATCCGGTCCTCGGGTGCCGGCAGCAGCCCCACCCTGTTTTGTCCCGTGTGCCAGCCCTCAGCCTGGTGAGAGCGCCTGATGCTACTCCTTGCAGCGGCTTCCTTGTCTCCACAGTCCTCAGCGATGGCTTTGTCCGTCTGCCTGATGGGTTGTGCGTAGTCTCTTGTGTCCTGCTTGTCGGTGCTGCTGTCTGCTTAGTTTCATTTAGAGCATCTTAGTATTAATAACCCAGAGCCGCTCACAAAGAGTCACTTACCTGCGTGACATTGGAAACCATGCGTAGAAGCCAAGGGTCTATTTGGCGATGAAGGGGTAGCCTCAATGCTTGCATCCCAGCTGGGGAAGGTCTGCCCACAGGCCGTGAGCCCAAGGATTGTTGGTTAGGACCAGGGCTTCTTGATGAGGTTGGAGTGGCTGGCAAGTCATTGAACGGAGGACGAGGTTCTCATCCTGGTTGCAGCTGGGTCCAACCTGTGCCCCTCAGCTTTTCTGCCTGACCTTCAGACACTGTGCTGGACGGCGCATGTTGGTGTGTGTGGGAAGAAAGGGTGCCAGGCAGTGAATGAATCTGGCCTCTGTAGGAGCAATCTAACCAACAGTAAGTCTAGTTCCGTATGGTCCCTAAAATACACTGTTTGCACTGCCTGGTGGCTGTGCTCACAGCCAGTAGTGGGTGTCATCGTGGCTGCCGGGTGGGCCCTGGAATCCAGCAGTATTTCAGCGTGCCAGGGCCACACCCAGCAGGGCACAAGTGATGAAAGGCTAGAGGGGGCGGAAAAGCACAGCTGTTGTACAGAGCTTGAGCCTGGTGGTGGCGAAGGAAGTGGGCAGGGCAGGGGCAGTCCGGCTCTTGAGGCCTGGCCATGGTGGTCATGGCAGAGGAGGTGGGCAGGGCAGGGGCAGTCCGGCTCTCGAGGCTTGGTCACAGTGGTCATGGCAGAAAGCAAAGCCGCCGAGAAGGTGATGGGAACAAGGGGAGACCCTG